GATGCAAAAATTCTCACCAAAATACTAGCCAATAGGATTCAACAGTACATTAAAAGGATTATTCACCACGACCAAGTGGGATTTATTCCAGGGCTGCAAGGTTGGTTCAACACCCGCAAATCAATCAATGTGATACAACACATTAATAAAAGAAAGAACAAGAACCATATGATACTCTCAATAGATGCTGAAAAAGCATTTGACAAAAGTACAGCATCCCTTCCGATCAAAACTCTTCAAAGTGTAGGGATAGAGGGCACATACCTCAATATCATCAAAGCCATGTATGAAAAACCCACTGCAAATATCATTCTCAATGGAGAAAAACTGAGAGCTTTTCCACTAAGGTCAGGAACACGACAGGGATGTCCGTTATCACCACTGCTATTCAACATAGTACTAGAAGTCCTAGCCTCAGCAATCAGACAACAAAAGGAAATTAAAGGCATCCAAATCAGCAAAGAAGAAGTCAAACTATCACTCTTCGCAGATGATATGATACTATATGTGGAAAACCCAAAAGACTCCACTCCAAAACTGCTAGAACTTGTATAGGAATTCAGTAAAGTGTCAGGATATAAAATCAATGCACAGAAATCAGTTGTATTTCTCTACACCAACAACAAGACAGAAGAAAGAGAAATTAAGGAGTCAATCCCATTTACAATTGCACCCAAAACTATAAGATACCTAGGAATAAACCTAATCAAAGAGGCTAAGAATCTATACTCAGAAAACTATAAAGTACTCATGAAAGAAATTGAGGAAGACACAAGGAAATGGAAAAATGTTCCATGCTCCTGGGTTGGAAGAACAAATATTGTGAAAATGTCTATGCTACCTAAAGCAATCTACACATGCAATTTCTATCAAAATACCATCCATTTTTTTCAAAGAAATGGAACAAATAATCTTAAAATTTATATGAAACCAGAAAAGACCTCGAATAGCCAAAGGAATATTGAAAAAGAAAGCCAAAGTTGGTGGCATCACAATTCCGGACTTCAAGCTCTATTACAAAGCTGTCATCATCAAAACAGCATGGTACTGGCACAAAAACAGACACATAGATCAATGGAACAGAATAGAGAGCCCAGAAATGGACCCACAACTCTATGGTCAACTAATCTTTGACAAAGCCGGAAAGAATGTCCAATAGAAAAAAGACAGCCTCTTCAATAAATGGTGTTGGGAAAATTGGACAGCCACATGCAGAAAAATGAAATTGGACTATTTCCTTACACCACACACGAAAATAGACTCAAAATGGATGAAGGACCTCAATGTGAGAAAGGAATCCAGCAAAATCCTTGAGGAGACCACAGGCAGCAACCTCTTCGACCTCAGCCGCAGCAACTTCTTCCTAGGAACATCGCCAAAGACAAGGGAAGCAAGGGCAAAGATGAACTATTGGGATTTCATCAAGATCAAAAGCTTTTGCACAGCAAAGGAAACAATTAACAAAACCAAAAGACAACTGACAGAATGGGAGAAGATATTTGCAAATGACATATCAGATAAAGGGGCTAGTATCCAAAATCTATAAAGAACTTATCAAACTCAACACCCAAAGAACAAATAATCCAATCAAGAAATGGGCAGAGGACATGAGCGGACATTTCTGCAAAGAAGACATCCAGATGGACAACAGACACATGAAAAAGTGCTCCATATCACTCGGCATCAGGGAAATACAAATCAAAACCACAATGAGATACCACCTAACACCAGTCAGAATGGCTAAAATTAACAAGTCAGGAAATGACAGATGCTGGCGAGGATGCAGAGAAAGGGGAACCCTCCTACACTGCTGGTGGGAATGCAAGCTGGTGCAACCACTCTGGAAAACAGCATGGAGGTTCCTCAAAATGTTGAAAATAGAGCTACCCTATGACCCAGCAATTGCACTACTGGGTATTTACCCCAAGGATACACATGTAGTGATCCAAAGGGGCACGTGCACCCAAATGTTTATAGCAGCAATGTCCACAATGGCCAAACTATGGAAAGAACCTAGATGTCCATCAACAGATGAATGGATAAAGAAGATGTGGTATATATACACAATGGAATACTATGCAGCCATCAAAAGAAATGAAAGCTTGCCATTTGAGACAACATGGATGGAACTAGATGGTATCATGCTTAGCAAAATAAGTCAATCGGAGAAAGACAACTATCATATGATCTCCCTGATATGAGGAAGTGGAGATGCAACATGGGGAGGTTAAGGGGGTAGGAGAAGAATAAATGAAACAAGATGGGATTGGGAGGGAGACAAACCATAAGTGACTCTTAATCTCACAAAACAAACTGAGGGTTGCTGGGGGGAGGGGGCTTGGGAGGGGGGGTGGGGTTATGGACATTGGGGAGGGTATGTGCTATGGTAAGTGCTGTGAAGCGTGTAAACCTGGCAATTCACAGACCTGTACCCCTGGGGATAAAAATACATTATATGTTTATTAAAAAAAATTAAAAAATTAAAAAAAAATAAAAACATACTATAAGAAAATTTTAAAAAAAACATGGATACTGATATAAAAACAAAGCAAGCCTGTGATTTAAGCCTACACCACAACAATTACACAAGAGTTACTACCTATTCTTTTCCTTCCTGTTACTGGGAATACCCTGAGAAGTTTGAAGTTCCTTCTATCACACCAGCATTAGCCTGATACCAAGACCAAAGACACAAAGGAGAAAGAAAAACCATAGGTCCATATCTCTGAACATATGCAAAATTCCCCTATCAAACATGAGCAAAACAAATTCAACAATACATAAAAAGGATCATTCATCATGGTCAAGTGAGATTTATTCCTGGGATACAAGGTGGTTCAATATCCACAAGTCAATGGGATACATCACATTAGTAAGAGGAAGGATAAAAATCATATGATCATCTCAACAGGTGCAGAGAAGGCATCTGACAAAATACTACATCTGTTCATGATACAAAGCTCACCAAAGTGGGTTCAGGGGAAACAGAAATGAAGGCTCTATATGAGTAACTCAGAGCAAACCACATACTCAATAGGTGAAAAACTGAAAGCCTTTCCTCTAAGATCAGGAAGACAAGCATGTCCACTCACCACTTTCATTCACCATAGTACCAGACATCATAGCCACAGCACTCAGAAAAAAGAGAAAGAAAGAGAAGGCATCCAAAGTGGAAAGGAGGAAGTAAAACTGTCACTATTGTAGAGGACATGATACCATACAAAACCCAAGAGTTCCCATCAAAAATCCCTATAAAAAACCAAGAAGGTTATCAGAATACATGAACTCAGTAAGGTCTCAGGATACAATATTAGTAGACAGAAATGTGGTGCATTTTTATATAGTAATGTGGAAGCAGAGAGACAGATACTAAGAAAACAGTTCCACTCACAAGTGCATCAAAAAGAAAACACCACCTACGAATAAATTAAACCAAGGAGGTGAAAGACCTATCCTCTGAGAACTAGAAGTCACTGATGAAAGAAATTTGAAGAGGACATAAACAAATGGAAAAATGTATCAAGCCCATGAACTGGAAGAGTAAGTGTCACTGGAATGTCCATACTGCCCAAAGCAAGCTACAGATTCAGGGCAATCCCTACAAAAGAGCACCAGCATTTTCCACCAAACAAAATAAATAATCTCCAAATTTCCATGAAACTGAAAAGGACCTCAATCAGCCAAGGCAACCTTTCGAGAGAAGAACAAAGCCGGGGCTATCACAATCCCAGATTTCAAGATGTACTGCAAGGCTATAGTGATCAAAACAGTATGGTACCAGCACAGAGATTCACAGAACAGGAGAGAGAGCTCGGAAATGAACCCTTGATCCTCTGGTCAATCTACAGCAAAGGAGGCAAGAGTATACAATAGAGGAAATACAGTCTTTTCTGTAAATGGTGCTGGGGAAACTGGATAGCTACATGGAAAAAAAGAATGAGACTGGACCACTTTTTTATTAAAGATCCATTCACTCATTTGAGAGAGAGAGAAAGTGCACACATGCAGGAAGGAGGGGCAGAGGAAGAGGGAAAAGCAGACTTCCCACCAAGCAGGGTGTCCAACACAGGTTCCAATCCCAGGACCCAAGATTATGACCTCAGCTGAAGGCAGATGTTTAACTAACCCATTGACCACTTTTTTTTTTTTAAAGATATTATTTATTTATCTGATAGAAAGAGACACAGTGAGAGAGGGAACACAAGCATGGGGAGTGAGAGAGGGAGAAGCAAGCTTCCTGCTGAGAAGGGAGCCCAATGCGGGGCTCGATCCCAGGACCCCATGATCAGAACCTGAGCTGAAGGCAGACACCTAACGACAGAGCAACCCACGTGCCCTGCTGGATCACTTTCTTATACTACACACCAAAATAAACTCAAGATGAATTAAAGAGCTAAACAGGAGGCATGGAACCATACACTTGTAAGAGAAAACCAACCTGAACCCTTGGATATTGGCCTCAGCAACATACTTATGGATAGCTCTCATCAGGCAAGTTAAACAAATCCACAGACAAAACTGGGAACAGAACAAAATAACGAGCTTTTGCACAGCAAAGGAAACAAACCATCAACACAATGAAAAGGCAAACTACTGAATGAGAGAGAATATTTACAAGTGATATTTCCAATAAGGTGTTCATTTCCCAAATATATAAAGCACTCATACAAGTCAACATGGAAATAACAAATCATCAGATTAAAAGATGGGCAGCACATCTGAATACACATTTTCCCCCAAAAAGACATACAAAGAAGCTGAAATAAGATGAAAAGATGCTCCACATCACTATCGTTAAAGAAATGGAAACCAAAACCACAATGAGATAGCACCTCACAACTATCAGAAAGGTCAGAATCACAAAGATGAGAAATAACAAGTATCGGTAGGGATGTTGAGGAAAAGGAACCTTCATGCACTATAGGTGGGAAAGTAAATGGGTGCAGCCACTGGGGAAAAATATGGAGTTTCCTCAACATATTAAAAATTAGAAACACCAGGGGCGCCTGGGTGACTCAGTGGGTTAAAGCCTCTGCCTTCGGCTCAGGTCATGATCCCAGGGTCCTGGGATCGAGCCCCACATGGGGCTCTCTGCTCAGCAGGGAGCCTGCTTCTCCCTCTCTCTCTCTCTGCCTGCCTCTCTGCCTACTTGTGATCTCTCTGTCAAATAAATAAATAAAATCTTTTTTTTTTAAAGATATTTTTTATTTATTTGACAGAGAGAGAGGTCACAAGTAGTCAGAGAGGCAGGCAGAGAGAGAGGAGGAAGCAGGCTCCCCGCTGAGTGGAGAGCCCGATGCGGGGCTCGATCCCAAGACCCCGGGATCATGACCTGAGCCGAAGGCAGAGGCTTTAACCCACTGAGCCACCCAGGTGCCCCAAATAAAATCTTTAAAAAAAAAAAAATTAGAGGGGCACCTGGATGGCTAAGTGGGTTGAGTCTCTGACTTCAGCTCAGGTCATGATCTCGGGGTCCTGGGATCGAGTCCCGCATCGGGCTCTCTGCTTGGCAGGGAGCCTGCTTTTTCCTCTCTCTCTCTGCCTGCCTATATACCTACTTGTGATCTCTGTCAAATAAATAAATAAAATCTTTTAAAAAAAATTAGAAACACCATATGATCTACTAATTCCACTATTGGCTGTTGACCCAAAGAAAACAAGACATAAATTTGCAAAGGTATATCCACCCCATGTAGATAATACTGCAGCACTATTTACAACAGACATGCTGTGGCAACTATCTAAGTGTCCACTGATAGGTCGAACAGATTAAGAAGAGGTCACATGGAATATTACTCAGCCATAAAAAGAATAAGATCTTGCCCTTTGCAACAGTGAGGTTGGATCTAGAGGATATTTTGCTAACAAGCTGGAGAGCAAGCAAGTACCATATGATTTCACTTACATGTGGAATGACAAACAAAAAGAGATGAATAAAAATGAGACAGACCGATAAATACAGAGAACAAACTGTTGTATGCCAGAGGGGAGGTGAGTGTGAGTGTGGAATCAGTGAAATAAGTGATGTGGATTAAGACTTACAAATTTCCAGTTATGAAATAAAGTCAGAAAGATTTTTTAAAAAGCACAGGAATGGGAACACCGTCACAAGAAAAATAAAATCTCTATCACAGCATCCCAAACAACGTAATTACTATTAACAGGAAGCACTAGCAGAATATCTACAGCACAGGAAGTATAGTTAATATTTCTCTTGTTATGGGGGCGCCTGGGTGGCTCAGTGGGTTAAGCCGCTGCCTTCGGCTCAGGTCATGATCTCAGAGTCCTGGGATCGAGCCCCACATCGGGCTCTCTGCTCAGCGGGGGGCCTGCTTCCTCCTCTCTCTCTGCCTGCCTCTCTGCCTACTTGTGATCTCTCTGTCAAATTAATAAATAAAATCTTAAAAAAAAAAAATATTTCTCTTGTTATGTTTTTACCTAATTCATTTGTCACCTTTGCCATTCATTCTACTCATCAATAACCAAACTACATCTGCATTGAATATTAGTTTGCCCACAGGCTTTAATTATCTCATCTACACTTGAAACTATTGATATATAAGGCTATTTGACCTTTACTGTATTATCAGGAACTACTCATCTGTAACTTTCCTTTTTAAGAACAAGATATTCATTACTAAAGACAGGCATTTAATAACCATCTCTACAATGAATTTCTAAACACTCAATCTGGCATCTCAATTTTTGTTGAAATCTCCATATTCATTAAATATCCTTTCCTGACTATCCCTCAATTTTCAGATCATTTAAGAGCATCTAAATTGGATAGGAGAATATCCTTTCTCCTCAAGCATTGCCAAACATTTGATAGATATAATCTTGTTAGCAGAAGTCGTGGCAAGTTATACTTCTGCCACAAAAGGTAAAAATAAAAGATGTTTTATGTGAAAGTGAGTATACTGAAGGAGATAAAGAGACTTGTAAGTATTAAAATTCTAGTTGGGTGCCATATCTTCCAGCCTAAGTAGTCATAGCAAGCAAGTAATTCTTATTTCCAAAGGTCTAGTTCAACCAATCATGAAGCTGAAAATAACATCGTTCCTAGTTATGGGACCTTTTCAATTTGCTGTATTCCCTGTATCTGAAGCAAAATGCACATTAAACAGGGTTTGATGGCTGGGAAATTATTCTGGTTCTCTTTCATGGAGGAAGAGAAATCTAGATCCTTCTCCTTGACTTCTGCACTGCTACAACATCATAAGTACGTCTGCTTATGGGGTTATTTTCCCTCAGGCCAAAAGTCATTTAAGAACATGTTTTGGAAGCAACCACAAGTTGTTTTAAGATCAAAAGATTTGCCTTAATTTCAGGCTCTGCCACTAATCAACTATATGACTAAGGGCACATTTTTTTTATACTTATTTTTCTTTTTCAAATTTTTATTTAAATTCCATTTAAAGTTTTATTTAAATTCCAGCTAGTTAACAACAGTGTAATATTAGTCTCAGGTTTACTATTTAGTGATTCATCACTTCCATATAACACCCAGTGCTCATAACAATTAGTGCCCTCCTTCATGCCCATCACCCATTTAATCCACCCCTCTGCCCACCTTCCCTCCAGCAATCCGCAGTCTGTTGTATGGTTTGCCTCTCTTTTCCCCCCCATGTTCACCTGTTTTGTTTCTTAAGTTCCACATATGACTGAAATCGTACGGTAATGGTCTTTTTCTGACTGACTTTTTTCACTTAGCATAATACACTCTACTCCAATCACATCACTGCAAATGAGAGGATTTCATTCTTTTGATAGATAATATTATATATAAAGGCATAAAGAAGTTTTGAATATATGATATATATTATATACATATAAATATATAATATATATTATATATTATATATAATATATATTATATACATATAAATGCATAAATAAGTTTTGAATACACACACACACACACACATAAATACTGAGCTGCATGTATCCCTTCAAATCAGTATTTTTGTATCCTTTAGATAAATACCTAGCTGGCTTGTAGGGTAGTTCTATTCTTAACTTTTTGAGGAACTTCCACACTGTCTACAGTGGCTGCACCAATTTGCATTTCCACCAACAGTTTAGGAGGGCTCCCCTTCCTCTGCTCCTTACCAACATGTTATTTCCTATGTTGTTCGTTTTAGCCATTCTGACAGATGTAAGGTGGTATCTCATTGTAATTTTGATTTGGATTTCCCAGATGATGAGTGATGTTGAGCATCTTTTCATGTGTCTGTTAGCCATATGTATGTCTTCTTTAGAGAAAAGTCTACTCATGTCTTCTGTCCTTTTTTTAAACTGGATTATTTGGTTTTGGGTTACTGAGTTCTATAAGTTCTTATATATCTTGGATACTAACCCTTTATCAGATATGCCATTTGCAAATATCTTTTCCCATTCCAAAGGTTGCCTTTTAGTTTTGTTGATTGTTTCCTTTGCTGTGCAGAGCTTTTTATCTTAATGAAGTCCTAACAGTTTGTTGCTTTTGTTTCCCTTGCCTCAGAAGATGTATTTAGTAAGAAGCCACTTAGACCAAAGTCAAAGAGGTTAGTTACTGCCTTGGTTCTCCTCTATGATTTTGTTGGTTTCTTATCTCATATTTAGGTCTTTCATCCATTTTGAATTTATTTTTGTGTATGGTATAGGAAAGTGGTCCACTTTCATTCTTCTGCATGTGGCTGTCCAATTTCCCCAATACCATTTGTTGAAGAGACTTTTTTCCCATTGGATATTCTTTCCTGCTCTCTCAAAGATTAGCTGACCATTAGAAGGAAAGGAAAAGTGAAATGGGGCAGATTGGAGGGGGAGATGAACCATGAGAGACTGTGGACTCTGAGAAATAAACTGAGGGTTTCAGAGGGAAGGGAGGTAGGGGGATGGGTGAGTGTGGTAGTGGGCATTAAGGAGGGCTCGTAATACATGGAGCACTGGGTGTTGCACATAAACAATGAATCTTGGAACACTGCATCAAACACTAATTATGCATTTTATGGTGACTTAACACAATTTAAAAAAAAAAATCAGTTGACCATATAGTTGTGGGTCCATTTCTGGGATTTTCATTCTGTTCCATGGATCCATGTGTCTATTTTTGTGTCAGTACCATGCTGTCTTGATCACTACAGCTTTGTAACACAACTTGAAGTTCCAGAACTGTGATGCCTCAGCTTTGCTTTTCTTTTTCAAGGTTGCTTTGGCTTTTTGGCATCTTTCGTGATTTCATACAAATTTTAGGATTGTTTGTTCTAGTTCTGTGAAAAATGCTGTTGATGTTTTGACAGGGATTGCATTAAATGTGTAGATTGCTTTGGGTAGTATAGACATTTTAACAATATTTGTTCTTCCAATCCATGAACATGGAATATTTACCATTTCTTTGTGTCATCTTCAATTTCTTTCTAAAGTGTTTTATAGTTTTTAGAGTACAGATCCTTTACTTCCATGGTTAGGTTTTCTTCTTTTTTAAATAATTAGAGTCTTGATTTCATTTGTAAAATGCAAGTGATTCCTGCCTCAAAGTTTTTATGATGATTAAATAAGGCAGTGACTTTTTTTGCTGTAAACTATGTGAAAATATTTTGTATTAGAATACAGTATACATATATGAGTGTATAGTGTATAAATTTAAAACTGCAATGTTTCACATAATAATTACCTTTATTAGTTAAGATGCACTCTAATATTTTTCTATTTTATAGTATCCTCTTTGTTTTTGAAAAACACCTGGGGTATATGGGAGGGAGATTTGTTTACTAATCTCACAGCCTATGCTGGAGGGGCACAATTCATTAGGAAACTTCTCCAAGAACAAAAGATCCCGCAGACCAGGAACCAGCACTCTCTTTGGAGTGAAGAGAGGGAAAGATAACTATACATATCAGAGCAGCTCTCTTCCCAGCAGTGGGCTGGGAATAGACATCTGGTCTGAATCCAAGCTCTGTCCACCAACCAAAGCTTCTCAGGGGACAACAAAGGTAAAGCAAAGTGCAGTTCAGTGCTTCTGCAGCCCTGGTAAATACCTGCTCT